GTCTCGTGGGGACGATCAAATTATCGAGAATCGTACTTCAAAGGACCCAGGTCCTTTAACTCTCCCCTCCTCCCTCCCTCGGAGAACAATGAGAAAAGAAAAACTAAATTATAAGCGGAATAGATGCCCTGCAGTGAACAAATGGATTTTTCGAAAGTTTATTCGAAAAATATATTTCACGTGCAATGTTTGCTGTTATCTAAATGAAATTATATACATGATTATCTAGATGAAATCATCTAGATATACAGGTGTTGACTAGATTTAACGTGACACTCGTTAATAAGAGATTCTCGAAGCGATTTGGAGACGATTTTTGCTCAGCGAAAATGTCCAGGCATCAGTAATTTTTAAGTTATAAGTGATTGAAAATAAGGGGTTTTTCCCAAACTAAGCTTTGTGGAAATAAAATATTAACAAAATCACATTCTTTTATTAATTTTATGTAGAGTTTACTTTAATAGAATTTTAATTTAAGGCTTAATTACGAAGATATATATGATTTCAAAAATGAAGAAAAATCGTCTCTAAATTACCTCAAAAATTTCCTATTAACGGGTGGCACGTTAAATCTGAGACACCCTGTATAATTTTATTTAGATAACAGCATTTATCATCTAGATGAAAATTTGACGTCATCTTATCTTTATGTAGATAATAAAAATAGATTATCTATACCTGCATCTTAGATGAAAAAAAGTGTTATTTTTACTAAATTATCTAAAATAATATTCAGATAATTTGGTTTAGAGTCATAGTACATAAAAATACTTAAATAGTAAAACTTACAACAAATAAAAGTACGAATATATTTTTGTATCCCTTACATAATTTACATTTTTTTATAACTGTGTTTACATAAACAAATTTAAAAATATAATTGTCTGGAAGTTATCTAGATAAATCGGTATATAATTTTATCTTCTATCTAGATATATTTGAACTCAAAATCATCTTTATCTTATCTGAGATAAATTTTCATTTTATCTTTAGATAATTTTAGCATCTATCATCTAGATGAAAATTTGACGTCATCTTATCTTTATGTAGATAATAAAAATAGATTATCTATACCTGCATCTTAGATGAAAAAAAGTGTTATTTTTACTAAATTATCTAAAATAATATTCAGATAATTTGGTTTAGAGTCATAGTACATAAAAATACTTAAATAGTAAAACTTACAACAAATAAAAGTATGAATATATTTTTGTATCCCTTACATAATTTACATTTTTTTATAACTGTGTTTACATAAACAAATTTAAAAATATAATTGTCTGGAAGTTATCTAGATAAATCGGTATATAATTTTATCTTTTATCTAGATATATATATTTGAACTCAAAATCATCTTTATCTTATCTGAGATAAATTTTCATTTTATCTTTAGATAATTTTAGCATCTATCATCTAGATGAAAATTTGACGTCATCTTATCTTTATGTAGATAATAAAAATAGATTATCTATACCTGCATCTTAGATGAAAAAAAGTGTTATTATTACTAAATTATCTAAAATAATATTCAGATAATTTGGTTTAGAGTCATAGTACATATCAAAATACTTAAATAGTAAAACTTACAACAAATAAAAGTATGAATATATTTTTGTATCCCTTACATAATTTACATTTTTTTATAACTGTGTTTACATAAACAAATTTAAAAATATAATTGTCTGGAAGTTATCTAGATAAATCGCTATATAATTTTATCTTTTATCTAGATATATTTGAACTCAAAATCATCTTTATCTTATCTGAGATAAATTTTCATTTTATCTTTAGATAATTTTAAAATCATCCGAGCGCGACACTGTTCACGTGTTACTAGCGTAAATATTTATGAAAATGACCAACAGGAGAGCGAGAAATCGCTCGATGAGTGCCACATCGCAAACAGCAATGTTTCTGGGTCAAAGCAGTCGCGAGTTTTCGCAAATAGAAGATATAGGAAATATATGTATGTCTCGATTGGTATTTTCTTCTCTTAAATTATTTCTCTCCTCTCTCTCTCTCCCTCTTCAAATATGTATTTAAATATCCGCGTATTATGACAGCGAGAAGAAAGAGAAAGGGAAAATTTGTATTTAAAAAAAAAATAGAAAGACTATTATATCGTTTTTTGTTTTTTTTTTCTCTCTTTTACTGATGCTTTTGCCGACGGAAACGTCACGGTCTTTTGTCGAGGCACGTTACAGAAAGTGGTTTTTACAGACGGTTTTATGTAGCGACATTTTTTCCTGATATTTCTGACAGTTCTCTCGTCACGTTGGAATGTTAATTGTTTAACGCGATTGATTAAAGATTGAATATTTGATATTTTTTACAATACGTTTGAATAATTTAAAGTTAGTTGAAGCGAAAGAGGAGTATAACATATTTGTCAGATCGACTCGATGACATATCTTCATTTATTTTTATATCGCGCGTGAATAAAAGAAAAAATATATATCCTTTTAATGTGTAAATAGAATTAGTTATCAACACGCGCGGAACGGTCACTAAATTTCTTTCCATCGCGCGCCACGTATCGTTATATTTATTTAATTCACTGAAACACAATTATAAAGTTGCAAGATTTCATCCGGAAAATTCCTTTTATCATTAGATATCGCTGTGTATGTGCGCGGACAGAGCGAAGTCAGAATGTGAGGTCGGACCCAATCGTGCCTCTTTCTACTCACTGGCAGGCAGGGGATCTCCCCGCAGGTGGGAGGAGGAGGAGAAGGATGAAGAGGATGACGGAGAGGAGGAGGAAGGCGACCGCGACAGAGCGGGGATAGAGAAGGGATAAACGGAGCCTCCCGCCCTTCCTCTCGTCCTTCGCGGTGGCCGAGGGAAAAGGGTATTTCGGATGAAAAGAGGGGCAGAAGCGGGATCGGGGAAGGTCGGAAAAAGCGTGGTGGGGTAGAGTCTCGGGCAGAGAATCCCCAGTGGTGGGGGCCAGGCGATAGGGGTTGGCGGCGCGGGTAGCGAGGGAGGGGATAGCCGCCGCGAGTTCGGTGAGCCCGCAGTTCTCAGGGTGGCTGGTGGCTCGTCAGTTCGGCGGACGACCGTGCGAGAGCGCCGTCGTGGCGGCGTGATCGATCCCTCATCATCTCGCTGCTCTCCGCGGCGGCATTCGCGCGCTCGCACATACATACCCCGACGAAGCGTGGTACGTGGAAACTCTTCTTTGGAGAAAGAGAGAGAGAGAGAGAGAGAGAGAGAGAGACAGAGAGAAAGCGCTCTGTCGTGAAGGGCGTCACAAATCGCTGTCGTCGTGGCGATGACGTCGCGCCGGTCGCCGCGACGTCGCCAGCGAGCGAGTAGTAAGGCCACGCTATAGGCGCGACGCGAACGAACGACGGCCTTCCTTTCGACGGCGCGTGGACGGCGGGGAAACCCCTATCGACCCTATCCGCGCGGCGGCGGCTGGTTAACCTTGCGGCCCGTCTCTAGACGTCCCGTCTATAATATCGCGCTTCTAGTGCAGGCAATAGTGTGCGTCGTTATTTTCGCTCCAAGATTCCGACATTCGACGGCCGCTGTATATATACATATTTCTCTAACGGCACACATATCCCAAAGACGTTTAGAGAATATCCTGAGGATGTCCTCTGAATATTTTTTGAATATATTGTGCTATTAGATATATATATATATATATATATATATATGTACGTGTGGCTGAGTCGCTCCCCTTTCTGCCCCCTACCCTATCCCCTTGAATTCCTCTCCTACCCTCCTCTGCAGACCTTGATCCACGTTGACGCGGATCTAAAACCCGGTCAATCACCCGTGGCTTTGGCACGCGCGACCCGTCGAGCTTCTCTGCCTGTCAGAGCCGACTGTCTGTCAGCGGTCGACGTGTCTGGCGGCGGTCGGTGGTGTCGCGGTCCAGAGATCCGTCGAGTGCCGGTCGTGCCTGGTCGAGCCTCCCCGACCGCGTGCGTTCTCCTCCTCGCGGGAGCGAAGCGAAGCGAGAAGTGTGCGTCGAGGGGGGTTGGCTCTCTCGCAGCAGGTGTGCGTATGTTCCTTAAGCGCGACATATCCGAAAAAGATTCAGAGGATATTTAGAGAACGTCATCAGGATGTTCTCTGAACGTCCTCGGGATGACACAATCCTAACAGCACACATATCCCGAAGACGTGTTTAAAGAACATCCTGAGGATGTTCGAATGTTGGCTCTCTCCCAGCAGGTGTGCGTATATTCCTTAATAGCGCAACATATCCGAAAAATATTCAGAGGATATTTAGAGAACATCATCAGGATGTTCTCTGAACGTTCTCGGGATGACACAATCCTAACAGCACACATATCCCGAAAACGTGTTCAAAGAACATCCTGAGGATGTTCGAATGTTGGCTCCCTCGCAGCAGGTGTGCGTATGTTCCTTAATAGCGCAACATATCCGAAAAATATTCAGAGGATATTGAGAGAACATCATCAGGATGTTCTCTGAACGTCCTCGGGATGACACAATCCTAACAGCACACACATCTCAAAGACGTGTTCAAAGAACATCCTGAGGATGTTCGAATGTTCTCTAAATATCTTCTGAATATCCTCTGAATATCTTTCGTATATGTTGCGCTATTAAGGATGTATGAGTGTGTCAGGCATCGCCGCATCATGCGAAACACCTGCATGCGAGCGACTAAGAGAGCATCGCATTAATTAAATCGCGCGAAAAGGGGTGCGTTCTTCCTCGCCAATTTAGATAATTTCTCTCTCTCTCTCTCTCTCTCTCTCTCTATCTCTGTCTCCTCGCACACTACGAGGGGGAGGAGAGGAGGGCCGAAGATTACATTCCGCGCTGGGTCCCGCGAGTATCCCGAGGAGGCGCGCGACGATTGGTCGGCGCGGTCGGCACGGCTCGTAATTAATTTCCCCGCTGCTCGGGGAATTACTGCTGGCCGGTCGCCGATATTAGGCGGAGGAGACGAAGGTCGACGCGAGAGAGAGAGAAAGACCGGATCCGGGACTCTAATAGCACAACATATCCGAAAAATATTCAAAGGATATTCAGAGGATATCCAGAGAATATTCAGAGGATATCGAGAGAACATTCAGAGAATATTCAAAGGATATCCTCCGGATGTCCAGAGGACATTCGAACATCCTCAGGATGTTCTCTGAACAACTTCGGGATGTGTGTTGTTAGGGCAATGTATGGGATTACAAGACGCGGGATGGTGTACATATATATTTTCCCTTCGTGCCACGCGCGCGTTCGACGATGCTATCGTAATCAGTTAATTTCCGGGCGTTAAGCGGTTTCGTCCGAGGGAGGGGACGAATTGGCGATATTCGGCGAGTGACGGCGCGCGAGATATGACAATTCGAGGGATGATCCAGGTGCGAGGGATAATTCGCCCCGTGTGCTGCCTTGCTGTCCGCGCGAGGATCCATTCCTTGCTGAAGAGAAGGGACTGAAGGCAGAGTTTTCGTGCCTCCTATCGCCGGCCTACTGCAGGATTCGCGTCGCGCGCGAAAGCGCAAGAAGAGGAATCGAGAGCGATTACGGATCGATACCGGTGAGTCTTGGTTTTGCGGCGGAAAGAGACTTCTGGACTTCGTCATTGTCGCGTGCCTGAAGGAAGAGAAAGAGAGAGAAAGAGAGATTGAAATTCGATAAGATCGAAAAGATTTTCTCACGGCCGGAATTAGATACCCGATTTACAACTATTACTGGTTGAAAACTTTGAGATTCGAGCTTGATAAATTTGAGCGAGAAGCGGAAAAAGATTTTAAAGTTCCTCCTGGGCGGGAGGGGGAATTGGATTTCTAGATTTATCGCTGCTGTACAAATGTACGTATATGTATGTAGGAAATAGTAAAATCGTACGGAATGAGAAAATTCGCGCCCTCGAGGAAATTCTCGACGCCACTTTATAATTCGTGACGGTAAAAAAAATTTCTGAAATTAAATTTCGGTGTATATACACACACACACACACACACACAGGGTGTCCTAGACTTACGGAATCACCTATTAATGGCAGATTCGAGACACAATCATTTTCGAGTTATAAACGATTGAAAATAAAGGGTTTCTCGCAAACTAAGCCTTGTGGAAATTATTAATAAAAAAATTACATTCTTCGGTTATAATTTCAGAGTTTAACAGAATTTTAATTTAAGGCTTAGAATACACGGTGGCAAAAATTGAGATCCTGCAAAAAATGATGATTTGCCTCTCGACGTTTTCGTTGAGGAAAAATCGCCTAATAAATGATCCTAGGAATCTGCCATTAACGGGTGATTTTGGTAGATTTGGGGCACTCTGTATATCCTAGGGAAGCGAGTAAAGGGATTAAAACCTCAGAGTAATTCAGTTTTGCGGTCGTTGACACTCGCACAAGCGTGCGGGCGCAAAAGCCTCAATATTTACGTTAATTGTATTACAATTAATCAAATTTCGCATTATATCGCGCTCTTGCTATGTCGCGACATCGCGCGGTATATAATATACGATATACATATATATTCTCGATTAATCGAAATTCAATTTATGCAAATGGATGGGTAGAGGCTTTGATTGCGAATGTATCTTGGTTTCTCGCGGAGATGTTTTATTAAATTTCATAGCACCGAGGCAGCCTTCGCCCGATGATCGATAGATATAACGCATGCTCTGCTATACTGCAAAACTTAGCGGCAGGAAATGAAAAATAAATGTCGCCCCCTTTATATATAGACGGAGCGGAGTCGCGATCAAAAGGTGAGAAAACGCGCAAAACGCGTTTATACGGAAGGGAAAAAAGAGCCGAAACTCTATTTTTCGTTTTAAAGTTAATTAAAGACGCGCACTTTCAATTCTATCTGTTTAATCTATCTAATTACTCCATGACGAAACGTAATGAAATTATGAATGGATTAAGTAGCGGTGGAGCGACACACAGAGTATATACGCCTTCTATACCGTGCTTTAATTAAGTCGCGTGAGTCGGGCGTAAGTCGCTGTACGAGAATTAAGCCACCTACACACCTTCATCATCAGCTTCATTGAAAGGGGAAAGCGAAAAGGGAAACTTTCGATTATTGATGTCCCTCCCTTCTGAGATTCGCGCTTATTTTTTGACAACGGTTTAATTAACATTATACGTTTCAAATTTTCTGTGCCATATTTTTTTCCTTCAAACGCTGCAATATATTCGCGCAAGTGGTTTTTAATATTCACAGATTATCTTAATCTTTTCCTCTCTTTCTCTTTTTTTTTTTTTAATTTTTTTGACGTCAAATTCATTTCGTGCAAAAGGAAAGATTTTTATTAGTTTTCTCATCAATTAAACAAATCTAATTCACATTAATTATAGTAGTAATACTGAAGGACAACTTCGTTTTTTTTTCAATTTTGCTGAAATTTTACGATATTGTTTATTTTTATGCGTAAAACACGAATCAGTTAATTAAAATTGTATGTAGAAAAATTTTACAGAAGGAAGAGGATTTTAATTTCGTGTTTCACCCACAAAATATAAATATTATAAAATTTCAATAAAATCGAAGATTTTCAGATAAGAGATTTTCAATAGAATTATTACCTAAAATTTAAGTAAAAACTGATGAGACTCGCCGATACGATGCGCAACAGCAGAGTTGTAAAATAAAATACATGGAAATTATATAGATTAAAATTTAAAATAATTGATATTTCGAAAAATAAAATTATTATTTACATTAAATTTAGTAGTAAAAATAGTACTAGTGAATAATAAATAAATATTCACATATAGTTTTATCGAATAACGATGGCGACGCTACTCAGAAGTCAGATATTCAAGAATTGGACACTATATTTTACAATGTTTTATATTTCACTGAATATTCAACGACAAAAAAATGCGGAGATCGCGCAGAAGCTTCGCCGATTATTTATTGTCGAGCGCGAATTTCGACGACGCCGCGAAAGTTATTCGGAGAAAAAATTGACAGTATGGCGGCGCGACCGTTTGTCATAGTCAATCTGCGATTTTTACGATTTTTACGAGCCTAGTTCGTCGCATAACGATACTTCGACGCGATGATGCGGAAATACGACCGGAAACGCGCAATAGTTCGCTTAGAATATGATCGACAATGTCAAAAAACTCCGGAAATTTTCACGTCGAAAACGTCCGGTTCACCCTCGTGCGCGAACTTTCGGTGGCTCGAGTCGGATCTGTGACGTCACGCGCTTTCGGAGGAACGAACGTCGAGCGAGATTCGCGGCCGACGAGGTCAAACTAGATATACAAAGTACCGCAATCTATTGTCTTATTGGAGACAAAATGGTGTCGGATAATGTAAAGAATACGCACTTTATGTAAGCTACTCAAGTAGCAAACTGACGTCATTAAACGTCAAAATGACATCATTTTGTCGTCGAACGACGTCAAAAAGACGTACGCTTGCTACTTAGATATTTATACGATTTTTTAATTTACAAGTTTATCTTTCTTTATTCAGAAAAAAATTAAATTATAAAATACATTTAAGTGTAATAAATCTGAAATTGTCGTATAGCATGGAACCAAAATGGCGGAATTTCGTTACAATTGCGGCACTTTGTAAATCTAGTGATTTTAAACGAGGTCAACCTCGCGCGACGCGATCGGATTTATATAGATAATTAAAGACGTAAAGACACTAATGAATATACTCACACACGTATTTTCACGAACTTACGATGTTGATCGCGAACAATAACTCGAAAGTGCACTACATGGCAGCATTCTAGATTATTAGGTTATGTTATTGTCAATATAATAAGAAATGCAAATATTGGTAAATATGACATAAATAAGTTAGTTAATAAAATAGTGTTGTATTTTTCCAATTTCAATTATCTATTTTTTACAATGCAACTAACATCAATATATCACCATTTGTATTTTAAATCACGCAATGCATCATGGGTAGCTGTGAGAAATACGTAGGCTAATCGGATGTTTTAACCTTTCTATATATAATCTTATGTTCAAAAATATATTCACTAAAGTGCATAATTTGACCGACTAATCAAAGACTAAAGATCTCTTTTTCCGGATTGGTGAATCAAGCGCTTCACCCTGGATAAAATATATAAAACATAATGAAATGTAGTGCCCAATTTTTTAATATCGGCAATTCCTGAGTGTGTCGCCATCATTGTTCGATAAGACTCTCCGATAAGTGGGGCTTAGAAAAAAAGCGAGGAAAACGGAGCATCGGTTTTATTCGCGCGCGAATAAACTGTCGCAATTCTCACGTTTTATCGAAACGTGTCGAAAATATGATAGCTAAAACTCGGAAAAAAGTAACGCGAGCACAAGTGTCTCGAAGCTTCTTCTACGAGAACAATTTCCAACAGAAGTTAGTTCCCTACAAGAAAAATGACACCGGTGAGAGATTCGGAGTACGCCAGAAGAGGAAGAATGATCGAAATTATATGGGTAGAATTAATTTATTAATATAGCGGAGAAATATACGCCTAAGTCTTGATCGGATATCGTGTCAAGATAAAATCAATATAACACGTTTACTGTAAATTAAAAGCCGGTTGTGCGGAGTGAGAAGAGGGAACCCACTTTTTCCTTATTTGAGAGCGACGTTTTTAATTTACAGATGAATATAATTAATATAATATAATTTTATAATTAATATAATTTTCGCGTTTTACACACCAATACACAAGATTGTTAAATCAGAGAGAACGGAGCTCTTCTTCAGTATTACCATCATAACATATTCTTTTGATGTTCTTTTAAACGTCTCAATTTTTCACATCGTTTTACCTCAATTGTTAGGGCATTGTACATTTTTACTTCTTCTGTACGCTCACAGTTCTACAAAATTGTATTAAATTGTCCTTGACCCGTGATCTTTGTCTTTCAGTGACACATTTTCTATTATTTTGTAACATATTTCTTGATTACTTGGGTAACATGTTTCTTAAAAGGAGAGAGAGAGAGAGAGAGAGAGAGAGAGGGCGAGAAGATACCGAATTCAAGAGAGTTCCAATAAAGATTTCACGGTTACAAGACTTTCCACTGACTTTCCATGAAAGCGTTATCTCGTGTATAATACTCTGAAAGCAAGAGGGAGAGAGAGAGAGAGAGATCGAAGAGCGAACAATCGCGGCTTCGACGCGCGAAGTAGTTTGATACGGTTCGACAAGTGTATTACCGCTCGCGATAAGTCGCAGAAATCGAGATTGCCCCGAAGCTGTTCTCCTGTTCGAGAGAGAGAGAGAGAGAGAGAGAGAGAGAGAGAGAGAGAGAGAGAGAGAAGGTACATGAATGCCCATTGTCCGCGATATCTATCTTACAAACGATCACGTCGACGAGGATCATTCAATACTGCCCCGACTCTTAAACCCTACTCGATCATGAACTTTCTCCCCATTTGCGACGGGTATATATATATATATATATAGCTTTCAAAATTTTATGTTTTTTTTATCGGTAGTATTTTTTCCTCTCGGTTCATCTATATCTTCCACATCCCGATCCAGGACTGATAAATTGTGAATAATTTAATTTTCGATGATTAAGGATACATGGGAGATATATAT